ATGGAAGAAGGAACAGGATCGGATTTATTTATTTTTGTTATTACGAGACGTCGATGGATCCCAGGGAAGTAGGTTGGCTTATCGCTCACTGTCCACGGCGGAGACGATGTGGGCCGACGCAAAGCGGCTCTGGTATTAGGGGAGACGAGGCCCTTTCCGGAATTCACAGCGGGATTGGGCTTAGGATTCCTCCTCGGCGGACAAGGCCAAGGTTTCAGCCACGGAACCAGCACCGTTCGGCCATTTTTTTTTTAAATAAAGGGGAGAAGAATCGTGTTGCTTTGTGCAGTTTTGGCTCCACCTGAGGGAGTTTCGACGCGTCTGGTTTTATGACACGGCCAAGAGAGACTGGGCGTCGATGAGAGCGGCCCGTCACTGGCGGGCCAGTGCGGATTACACAGGCCAATAAAGTCCCGAGTAAACATTACTTAATGTCCCCAAAGTGACCAGCTGGGGGGGGGGATGCTGGATTGCGTGGTGTCAGAGATGTGGCACTTTTCAGGAATAACCTGGAGATTTGCTATTATAGGGAGACTTGTGGGGCGGGGACTGGGGGGTGGTGGTGGTTGGAGATTTAATGCCTGGCCTCACATGACAAACACATGGGTTTTCGTTTGGACAGAAATCTGAAGAGTAGACGACAGAGTCCACCTTGGATACCCCGGATAAGATCGGGCCCTCGGAGTTGCATTGGTCACAGTGCCGATTGATGTGTCATCCTAATGGCTCAGAGTCCTCGCATGTGCCTCGTGAAGCCCCCCCCCCCCCCCATGTTTATTTTCAGATGCCCCCATGACGCAACGGTAAAAATAGAACGGGGGCCATTCATGTGCAACACCGGAGGGGCTCGCCAGCAAGGAAGCACTCGTCAGCACTCGCGGGAAACAAATCCGCACCGTTTGTGTTCCCACCTTCATAAACGCCACCAAAATAGCCCCCCACCCCCCCTTCGTGCAGGCTGGACCCCCCTCAAGCTCCCGTGATGTTTTCCAGGCACGGGTTGCGGCCTCCAACAACACCCGGTCATTTTGTCACTCAAAGTGGATGGGCTGGTGGCCAGTGTTTGCTCTGAAACCTTTGGAACATTCCAAAGACCTGAGTCTGGGGGGTGGCGCAATTTTTGGGTAAGAAAAATGGTGGGAGCGAGGCCTCTTTCCTCCCCAAAATTCCCTCACTTTTATCGATAGTTTGCCTCGGCAAATGCGCTCAAAGTTAATCTCGTTGACTTAGTTCCTGATTTTTCCCCGTTTTAAAATAACACGTAAATCCACCCGTCTGAATGACAATGGACCTTCCCATCTTCACCTATAATAATTCAGCTCACTGTACGTCAGAAGCCCCCGACTTAAAGGGCGTCGCACATGGAGCCCGTCAGCGACGGAATCTCCTGCCTCCCATTTCGGAATGACATTCCAGGCAGCTCATACAGGCACCACGTTTGGGGAATTTCACCCCTTCTGCATTCCTCCAAAGGTTCCTGACCTTCCTTATTTTATTATTTGTCACACAGTCCACTTCACAGGCAGGGGATTATTTGCGGGTGCTAATGCCAGGGAGGGGGTGTCCAGGACAGCAGATGGGGAGGTAGCAGTGGGGTGGTGGTGAGGGGAGGGGGGGGGTGACAGGGGTTGTGACCACAAGCTAGGGGGAAGTTTTGTGTTAACAACTGGCCAAAAGCTTGACCTGTGACTGACCCTGGTCAACAATGTACCCCCCTCTAGGACAGACCCTGTCACTTTGACATGGATACCTGTTGGGGCGGGTGGGGGGGTTGTGTCCGGGAGATAAAGACCACCTCAAAGGTTTTTTTGGGGATTTAAGTGGAGGGGTAAAAGCAAACAAACAGTTAAGGGGAGGGGCTGTTGGTTGGCTCTGTGTGTGTGTGTGTGTGTGTGTGTGTGTGTGTGTGTGAGTGAGGGAGGGAGCTTGCACACTCTAAGCTGAAACCCAACACCCTGCTTGTGTTCTAAGCAAGAGCAGAGATAGAAGGTTTTGGATTCCACAGATGGAAAGCGACGATGACCTCGGGGACAAAGGGCCCCGGTGAACAGGTGTGGCATTTCGGTCCCCCGGAGCCATCGGGGAATTCCTTCAGGAGGCAGAGAGATTGTGCGGCTGTTCCTCCCTCGCCCTGCGGGGGGCGCTGTAGCATAGCTGGACCTCCGTGTATAAATCCTCCCAGTTATCCAGTCTGGGTTGCTGTTTCCCAGGAGCGTAGCACGCAGTTCTCTGCAGTTCTCTGCAGTTCCCTGCAGTTCCCGCCGGACGGAGAGAGAGTCCCCCGGCAGTGGCAGGACGCTTAGGGGCCTCCGGAAACCAACCCGTGGAGAACAGGCCGCCGGCAGCAGGACAGCTGGGGGTTCTCGGATCGCCTTGTTCCCCAGCCCTCATTACTGAAAAACACAACAACAACAACAAAAACAAAAACACTGTATCATAAAGAGCAACTTCTCTGTTCCTGACTGTGCTGCGATTAATAACAGTGAAATCTGATGCTACCTCCCTTGGCGTGATCATCTCTGTTCTTGGTGAGAATGTCATTACTGTCCTGTCATCTTGGACAGAGTGCTGGAGGGGTGTTTTCGTTCAGTGTCCTGCCTCAAAACTTTGTTGGCTGAGTAGTTTGTGGCTTCCTGGGCCAGCCGCTTGGCCTGGTGTGTCTGTGCCAGGCAGGACCCATGGGTGTCATCCAGGCTGGGCCCTGCTTCTCTGGAAGTTCTCTTCCAGAGCTTGGTGCGGATGGGTTCGGTGGATCCATGTGAAGTTCTTCTCAAGCTCCGTCCGTCATATGATAGCTGAAGGAGGGGGCTCCATCGATGGTGAACGGCAAGTGCCCAAGAAGTACCCTTGGTTCTGGTCGAGTTGGCAGCCAACCCTCTGCTCCCCTTGCTCACTTGTATAGGTTGCTTTCTTTTTTGTGTAATAGACCGAAAGATGGGTGTTTGGTTTTGGGGGGAAATCAATGATTTTGTGGCATGTGGCCTTTTTCATTTGCCCACCCTCCCAGAGCCTCGCTGGAGTCCAGCACTGTGATCTCAATGTGTTTTCTAGTGGATGGGGTGGGAGGAAGCTCTTTCTGGTGGGGGTCTGTGGTGACCCTGAGGAGATAGCGGTGGTCTGTACCAGTGATATTTCCTCTACCACCTGTGTGTATTTCACCCTCCTCGTCTTCGAAGTTGTGGCGATTTCGCATGGGACACTGGGATGGGGGCCGGCCTGTCAGCTTGAACCTGATATCACATAAAAATACTAATTATCAGCATCTCTTCTGATTCAGTCTCTCAGCTTATAAATTACTAACTAATCACTGTCACTCGCTGAAGGAGCGGTGATTATTCAAAAAGGAGAAATCACTGTAATTATGGCAAGTAATTAAGTATTTATCTACAGATTAGTCATTACTTTATGTTTCTTTCCTTTTAATTAAGAAACTTACTCCGTGCAGAACGGATATTAAAATTTTTATTTAGCTCCATTCGCATTGTTTTGTGTCGGACGCACGCATGTCTGTAATTGCGTACGGAAAATATAGTAAAAGCAGAAGCATATCTAATTTACGTTTTTATTGGCGAGTTGGGGTGGAAAGGGGCTGTAGGGGAGTCTGGATTGTGTTCCGACTGGGCGTTTCATCCCTTCCGGGGGAGACTCTCGTCCAGCTAACCCAGTAAACGGGTACCAGTAGACCCGGCACCGTCGGCATCCCCATGGAACGCGGTGCTCGGTGACTGGGAGGCTCCTGGCGGACTCTGGATTTGGGGCCCCATGCTGGCAGAGGTTTCTGAAGCCGGGATCTCGCTGGCTGTCGCCGCTGGGAATTCCGCCGGAGGAATTCCGGCATGGACTCGCGTGGGTGGGGCTTGTGACCTGTGTAAAAGGACCCGCCCGCCACCGTGACCACTTTGCACCTCTGAATAGGCTCAATACAATAACCGCTGTTTGAGCTCCTGCCCCCAGCCCCAGTTTTCTCTGCCCCCCCCCCCCATTGGGAGCCCGGGGACCGGGTGAGCTGAGCTTGCCTGCAGCGGGCAGGTCTTTGCAGGAACTGACACAGGTCAGAAGGCCCTCTCAGTGGGGGGGGGGGGTCTCACACACAAAAATCACGGTGTTTAAAAATAAGAAGAACGGGAAGAAGAAAACCTCAACCCCCCCCCCACCACCCACTTCGGCCCCCTACCACCAGACCACAGCTTATAAGATTTTGTGATGATCAAAATTGGGGGGAGGGGGGGGGTGGCGGCAAAATAGCTAGGCTAGAGGATGGGGGGGGGGGGGGGGGGGGCTGATGTGCATCTCAGGAATGGGGAGATCATCCCTTATCCCGGCTTATTCCGGATCTTTCCGTCTGGAAGGATGAACAAATAAGAGTGAATTATGGAGCAAATTATGGAGCAAATAAACACTCTCAAATAATGCGAGGGAAACGGAAACTGGGGGTAAAATGGGGTTTCTTCTCTAGCAAATAGCCCCCCCCCCCCCACACACCGAACAGACCTGCTCCCATCCAACAAGGACGGGATCCGCATGAGCGACCACTAGCTCCTTGCCGCTGATTTACAGAGGAGCATAAAAATGTCCGGCACCTTCCGTGACTCCATCTGCAAAAACAAAGGATCAGGTACTGCCAATTAGCGCGGGCCTGCCTGAGCTGCCAGATCATGGCGGATTACCCTAAATTCCTCTGATAATGTCACGATACGCCTTGAGAAAGAGAGAGGGAGAGAGGAGGATAAAGATGAGGAAGGACAGGGAAGATGGAGGCTGCAGGAGAGGGATCAGATCGGGAATAAGGGGCCGGGAAGCCTTGCTGACAAAGAGCCTGAAATGCTGTGACCCGCTTTTGGGGCGGGACGGCGGAATATTCTGGTGGATGCGCACCTCTCTGCGGCTTGCCGGTGGGCATCTCCTGGCACCCCCCGGCGGTGCCCTGTAATTGGCGCGCAGGTTTTATTTTATTTTTTTTATATATTATTTTGAGTGTGTGTGGGGGGGGGTAACGGCACATGGCCGGACCAGGCGATGTGACATTCCCGGGGCCCCTCTTGGGCGCCGAGGCGCACCGGCCCCCACCGGCCCTCGGAGTCGCTAAGGAGCTGTCACAACACATTAGCAGCTGGCTGCAGTCGCCCTCTGGCACTTCCTCGCGGTGCGGACCGCCGGTTCGAGCCGGGGTCGCCCACGGTGCCTACTGCTCGCCTAATGAGGCTGGCAGCTTGTTTATGGTCTGCCGGCATCCCCGTGATTATTTCCACCTCTTCGGCCCGCCTGGCCGGTCCGCCCCCTTCTCCGGCGGCGCGGGAACTCAGCGGCAGGGTCTGCGGACAACATGTCCGAAATCGGGGGGCGGGGGGATACTGTTGGAGCGGGACCCAGCTGCTTTTCTGAATGGAAAACACCAATAAAAACAACGGTTTGGGTTATTATCCACTCCCCCCTTAAGATTTTATTGTTGAGGGACGATGAGTTCAAGCAAAAATTAGGAGAATAACATTGAGCACGGGTGGAAATTGAAAGCTGCTTTTTGAATTGTTTGAGTGCCCCCCCCCCCAACATAAATCTATGAACCCTTCTCTGTGCCCCCCTGCCCCCTCCCCATTCCCTTGCCATTCCCGGGGTGCTGCTCTCACTTCAACCCCCCCCCGGATTTATTGTTCTAGGCTTTGCCGAACATGGGGTTGGGTCTATGTGGCGGATTGCAAGCATTTGCTTTCAATGAAAACCCCGTCTTAGATTACAGGGCAGCGGGGGCAATTTCCCCCATCCCAGATGGGGGCCGATCCCCCCCCCACCCTTGTTTGCCTAAAAACAGTAGGGAGGACAAGCTCCAGTATAACATTGCCCTGCTCCTTTAGCTCGAGTATAAACACGTACCAGGACTACAGATACAGTTGTGGGGGGTTGGGGTGGGGGGGGTGGTTGAATTCTAGAAAATATGGGACATGGGGTTTTTAGAGGGAAAAATCTATCATTCCTCCACAATGAAGTGAGGAGGCTGTCCGTACCTTAAAAGCTTCCCCCAGTCGATCCCCAGTTTCGTGGACCTTCTCTCTCTTTCCCGACAGGAAAGGGCTGGACTGGGTATTTTATATGGAATGTAGGAAGCGATTCCCCTCCTAATGGCGTATATAATTCAGGTGCCCTAAAGGCATGCTTTCAGGAATTCTTTAGCCCGAGGTAATGGGGGGAGCAGGGGCTGTTTTAGGGCCTTGATTATTCTATTGATGCACGGAGCTGGAAGAAAGAAAGAAATCTTCAGTGGATTATGTGCGATATTCCCATTAATTATCCCATTAATTAATTATCAATGACTCCGGTAGATGGAGTTAAAATATGGTCATCCGGCACGGCGTGCCGCTATTGCCGAATTCCATCCTTAATCAGCAGATAACGGCGTCCAGTCACGCTTCCTCCCCGCCGCTCCCCCCCCCCCCAGCCGGAAGCATCACGGTGAAGGAGGTTATCCCGTAAAAAATTTCCAGAGCTTGCCGCCTTGTTTACCTGCCTCATGTTTCCTTTATGACTTATTATTTTATGTGGAGAAATCGCTTGGTGTCTGAATAATGCTAATAACCATTCTAAAATGGAGGGGGGGGGGGGGTCTTTTCGGGGTGGGGGACAGCGGAGGGGCTTTTTATTGGGCCAGTGCTGTATAGGATGCCTTTAATAACTGGAATTATGATTTAGCCAGATATGTGGAGGTGTATTCATTAAATGCAGAATAGCCCCACATAACTTGCCGTCTTCTGCTCAATGGTGGGTTAAGCTCTCTCT